TGGCGTACATTTTTTTGTTTGAAAACTTTCCATATGATTTTGCTGTGCCAGTTTCCAAATTTACTGACAAGCTGCTGAGCTTTGCAAAATGACACCGACAAGTAGTGTCTATTACCACTTATAAAAAATGCGACTTAAAATATGTTAGCGTACATTTTGATATGTATTGGTGGTAGTTAAAAATTCCGTGAAATTTTATTGTGGATAAAGTTGTTTTCAACAAAATAAACCAAATAAACCAAATAAAAAAAGAAGTGAAAATATTAATGGGATTAAGCATGACTTTTAGTGTTTGAATTATTTAAGTTCGGAAGATTACTTGTGAGTAATTCTGTTAAGCTTAACTTCTAAATGTAGACAGTAAGAAACTGCAGTACGGTATATAGTTTCGCCTTTTTTATAGTAACCAATGAGTTTTAGCGCACGCTTCAACTTCTGAAATTAAATGAACGTCCTTACCATCCGCCAGTTTGAAACCAACGAAGTACATTTGTCTGACTAAATCGAATTTTTTTCTATAGCCGATTCATTAATATCTACAAATTGAATTATGCAGTATGATTTACATACATACATATATGTCCATATTAATAAAATTAAGGTCTCTTGAACTAATCAGACCATTTAATCAGTTTAATATAGATGGACACGCTTATCTACCATACAACCAAAAGCTTTATATAATTTATTATAGATAAAGTGATAAAACGATCAATATTCAAATATCGTCACATAAAATGCAAAACAACGTATCATCAAAATAATCGAAATTGAGTTTTTTATTTCTTACGATTTACTACATCATAAAATTTTCGGCTTCTGCTGTCAGATATAAGAAATATACTATATAAACAATTTGTAATCAAAACTTAACTTTTGTTGCAATATGAGTGGTTTCTATTATATTGTTTTTCCTTCACCTGTAAACTTATGAAAACTGATGTTACGTTATTTTTAATTTTAGCTACATGTATGCCTATAACAACAACTACCAAATATTTTTCTAGGAGTCTTTAACGAATTGCTATCTGTCTGTCAGAAATTTTGGTAATCCATAGATGTCTAATCACTGGCATCACTGGCTATAAATAAGTTATTGGAGTGAATAATAAACTAGTGAATAAGGTATATTGCTGACGACTGAATGCAGACGATAAAATTACGAGATATWAGCTTATGGCGGCGAAGAAGAAACTCAGTGCTTTTACAATACAAAATATATATTACTTAATATTATGCTGTCATTATTAAATATCTATGAGAACCATTTATAGAAGCCAATTTTCCGTAAGGAGCCGTAGCTTCGTTACAATATGCATACGAGTATATCAGCGTCAACATGCAACTTAAAAAAACCTAAGTCGTTTTGAGATAATAAGAAAATATGTGCTTTGTCCAAAGCATTAGCTTAGAACCGTAAGCTTTAACCTTCAATACAACTTTTATAACAGATATTGCCAGACTGTATCTATAAATATATTTGACTAAATTTACTTWATCTATTTCTACACTTTAGTTATTATTAGAGCTGTTAAAACCTATAATTCCTCAATATAACATCCTCAATCTGAAATTTATGGTTTAATTGATTTATCTCCACAAAAAAGGTATATAGCACTTATTTATATACAATTGTCAGCAATTAATTATTGTAAATGAGAAAAAAAATCGGTTTTCTGACAAATCTGTTTGTATTAGTCTAATTTATTGCCGAATGACTAATTATTTATCCTACTACACAGACAATACATATATGATGATTGTGCTTCGCAGCTTTTCAAAAGTTCGAAATTTATGCAATATTTAAACACAAATACGCATTACATATTTTTCTATAATTTTTAAAATAAATATATTAGGTTGACAAAAAAGTCTTGCGGTATTTTCGCTAGTTGGCGCAGAGAGCGCGTAGTTCTAGCTTTATTCGTCGCATCATGCTATACCTTTTTGGAAAACTCATTTCACGCGTTTGATTGATTGTCGTTTCTTTTAAGTCGTTCGTGAGTTATAGCGTCGCGAACATGGAGCAAAATAAAGAGAAAATACGGCATATATTACAGTACTACTACTACGATAATGACAAAAATGCATCTCAAGCCGCCAATGAAATTTGTGCAGTTTATGGACCCGATACAGTTTCCATTTCCACCGCACAACCATGGTTTCAAGATGCGCCACGCTCCGGAAGGCCTGTCGTCGAAAATTGCGATAAAATCGCTGAATTGGTCGAAAGAGACCGGCATAGTAGCAGCCGTAGCATCGGTCAAGAGCTGGGCATGAGTCATCAAACCGTTATTAAAAAAAAAATACCGCAAGACTTTTTTGACAACCTATTATATTTTAAAAAATTTCTTTCTATTAATCTAACCTAAAATTTTATCTCATTTACTACTATGAGCAAAAAATAGTAAATTTTTGTTCATTTTTTAGAAATTCTTAATTTGTTCCTTAAAATCTATGTCGCCTACCCTCAGAGTAAAGCCGTTGGTGAATTATCGTGGTTCAAAAACCAATCCGTTATCAGTCCATAATTCCGGTCTCTTTTCACGAATACAATTTTTTGCAGCTTCTCGCAAACAAGTCACAACACTCAAATAGTTYCTTGTTGACAGTTGGCCGTTCGGAAGGATGTCAGCCTGCATCACAATTCGATAATCGATAAAAACTGAAACATAACCTTTATTTTCAACCTGCTTTGACATGTTTTTTTCGGCTTTGTCTCGTCTCGTCTTTGCCACGATATTCGACCGATTGATAGTAAGCATAAATCCAAGACTCATCGCTAGTAATAATGGGTTTCATGACATCCTAGTAGTCGGAAAGCATTGTTGCACAGACATTAACGCAATGCTGTTTTTCGAAAAAATTTAGTGAAACGTGCTTCATTTTTCTTAGGCCCAAATGATCTTTCAAAATGATTTTCATTGATACTTCCGATATTCTAACGTTGCCAGTAAGATTTCTGGCTGTTAATCGTCGATTTTGAAGCACCAGTTCCTTTTTATTGGCGTATTGATCATCAGTTAATGTTGATGGCCGTCCTGGACGAGGTTCGTCGTCAACGTGTTCTCGACCTTTCTCGCCACAAACCATTATCACCGAAGATCTTTTCCAACATTCTGAATGTCCCGGCACTAGAAATGTCTCACACAAAATTTAATGGAACCCTTTTGTTAAAAAATTTCACTAAGCGTAAAAATCGCTTGTACTTCAGAAAGACAAGCGTATAAAAAACACGAAAGATTATTTTGCTGCGACATTTGGCACAGATGTTACCGACAATCATACCGAACTAGAAAAAAAAAATTCGAAATTTAAATTAAACGGTCTTACTATTTTTTGTCCACGGTAGTATATACTATTAAACCTTTGAATAAGGTAGGCTCTATTCTAGTCATTATAAGTCACAAAAATATATACATATATTTATTATTTTTTTAATAAAAAATTCAAAACTGTACGAAACCCCTTAGTCCTCTTCAATCGGAAGAAAACTGCATACGAGTGTGCTATCTTCCACTACTTAGGTATGGTTTGAGAACGCGAAACTGACAAAGTTTGCTCATTTAAATTTTTTAATAGCAACCCTAATATACATATCATCTATATATCAACGTATGCACACATTGGAACGAGTATGCTAACTATTTCACGCCGTTGACGCACAATAGCGCCACCAAATAAATATAGCAAAGTATTTAATGATCTCCATACGGACGATTATAATTGAGCAATGCGCACAAATGTAAAAACATATTGCGGTATATGTATTCAGGAAAGAGTTATAGTTTTCAAACAATTAAACAAATAATTGATTAGAAATSGTTTAAGGCATATATAAATAAATGAATGTATATGAACATTAGGGTATTCGTTATTTACGAAGTTGTTTTCTTTTATAAAAGCATCCCTTTAAAAATTATACGTATTTAAACTTTTGCATCAAACGTACTGAGCATTCATAACAACAAGTTCTTCATAATTCTGTGTTGCTCATACGACGAGTACCACCTCTACTGTACAGTTACTGAATTACTGAGCTTCAATGCACTTGAGATATAWWTTTAACTACGTATAACTTTCAAAGAAATGGTTTTATGGGAAAAAAAAACTTTTTTATAGTGGAGAAAATTTTATGTAAGAATATAATATTTTTAAAGTTGTAGGTTTACTTCCTTAAAGCAAAATATTAAAAAAAACGCATGACATAAACAATGGAGAATAAACATGATTAAGACACGGTTTATGCTTTGTTTACGTTAGATACTTTATTCAGAGCAAAAACTGTAACTTCAGGAGTTGTTAGCATAACAAAAATCCACTTGGGAAAGAGTGGACACCCTAATGTACGATATTTGCTAATTTATGGAATTTAACTAATAGAGTGCTACCAGCCGGAAAATAATGCTCAAAAGCATACATATATATTTGAAAAATATAAAAATATTTATTTTTCTACGAAACTAAAAATGCTTTCATAGCAGTAGYTGCGATTTAACACCTATTCTATACCTTACATAATAAAATAATTGAAAATGTAAGCGAAAAAAATCGTAAAAATACCTCTACTACCTCTGAAACACACCTAACCCCTTAACTAAATTTTTCATTAACAAATTGARTGTTTTTAATATTAGACGACTTTTGGAGACATTCCTCTTTCAACTACACATTTACATAGTAAACTGTTTGAAAATTGCAAAGAGTAGTCTCATTTAAAGCATGCGAACATAAAAATACAAAGTCAAAACAAGTTGTTTTCTCAATTTCCAATTCCTCATAATGTGCCTTTATAGTCAAGCTAAGCGCTATTGAAAACATCTGAAATAAACAATAAAAGCTACATTGTTGTTTTATACATTTCCACTCACTTAAAAACTCATTAATCTTCGTTTTAGTATATGATTTTTTTTTTTTTTGTTTTGCGAAAATTATTCGCGCTTTAAATATTCTGCTGCTATTTTCATTGCTAATCTCCTACTTTTTTTGCTTGTTTGCAGATTATTGGCCTAATTATTGTGATCATCTCAGTGTGGATGCTTACCGATCCGTCGTTCGTGCTGTCGATGACCCAATCCTATAATCACTACTACATCGCGTTGTACGTCTTCCTTGGCATTGGTGTGCTCATCACGCTGGGCGGCTTCTTCGGCTGTTGTGGCGTCGTAAAGGAATCGCAATGTCTGCTTATATCGGTGAGTGAATCAACACCGATAAATATATACAAATTTATATGTACAGATGTGTATGTATGTATATTTTAATGTAATATGTCATATGACAACCTCCAAAAGTTTGCGCTGTGATTTTCGTTTAAATCAAACGCCAACGCAACACGACAGCTACGTACTTAGTCCAGGCGGTGTTTGTCGCACGCACTTAGCCACCCACAGTGTATGTTATTGTGAGTGCACAGCGTCTTGGTGCCTTAAATATGTAAGCTCATCGATATTAATGCATATTCATATATATGCACACATACGAGGGAGGTCCGATAAGTCCGTAGCCTCTTCGCTCTGCAGAGGTAAGAATAATAAAAAAAAATAATAATAATAAAAAAGCGAAAATGGTAACAATTCAATGATGTATTCCTGATTAGTAAGAATGTTCCTACCTTAAGAAGCTGTAAAACGTCTATAACTACGGAAATAATTTGAATTTTTTGAAAATTTAAGAAATATTTTAAAATTAGGAAAAAAAGTTCAATTTTTTCAAATTTCTTAAGCAGAATAACCCTTAAAAAGTTGAGCTCAAGCGATAAGGAGACTATGTTAAGAAATTAATCGCCGTTCGTTTCTCTTCCGCATAGCATGTACATATAGAACCGCCCTCGTATGTACCCCGTATTCGATTTGCGCGAATTCTTAGCAGCTGTAAACTTTTGGTGGCATCTAGAACACATTTTTATTAGTGTGTTGTTGTTGTTGTTCTCATTTTATATTATATCTTCTTTTATGATCATGCACATGATTTATGACTTACAATGTCTACTTTGTAGTTCTTCTGTGTAATTCTGGTGGTGATGGTGGCACAGATTGCCGCCGGCGCATGGGCATTCCACAACAAAGACAAACTCGATGACATTGTACGCGCGTCGGTGAAGTATTCGGTGCAGGAGGAATATGGCCAATCAAGCATGAGTTCGCGCACGGTCACTTTTGACAACATACAAAATAATGTAAGTGCCTCTGTTTGCATGTACATACATATGCAAGTGTGGGATTTGTGACATGTGTTTATTTACATATTGGCGCCTGCCTGCGTAAACATTATGCATCAAGTTGATACTCAAATTTCTTGAATTAATATGCTTTATTGTTGTTGCTTTCCGCTTCGTTACAGTTGAAATGTTGCGGTGCTGATGGACCGGCCGATTGGGCAACGAGTCGTTTCAACAATGTCGATCGCACAAATATCGTCGATATTGCCATATCATCGATGAATGTGTTCTACAATATACCCGAATCGTGTTGTAAAGATGAATTGAAAGAGAATGTGTGTGAGATGTCGAGAAAGTTGAAATTCGGTGGTTCGCTAAATACAGCAATATATCAACAGGTTTGTTATTTACATATATATCTAGTACTGCGAAATGTCGTAGGATCAAACAGATTAAACATATACTAGTAAAATTTCGAAAATATGGTTATTCCATAACTGTAGCTCTAACACAAGTTCTCATATCCGAATTGTGCGTTTTATATGTCGCTATAGTCATTCGACCTACTCGGCTCCAGCCATTGTCTGTTAGGTTATAATGTGGACGCGTTTTACAAAATTTCACTAAGAAATCTCGTACTAGTTGAACTTACAAATTATGACCTAAACTCGTAAACTTATTTGGAAACAAGTTTGCTCCAAAAATCATACTTTCTAAAGTATTCTCATCACAGTAAAAAAAAAAATTAATACACATACGTTGAGAATCACAAAATTTTCATGAGAATACGATTGTTCTTTGAAACGCCTGGACGGTCTTTGGACACAGTCTTTATTAACCCACGATGTCAATTGATGTGACTCATTTGCTTACAGTGTGTCATGACAGGGTCTTCTTGAAGCGAATATGAAGGTGGATCAGGGTAAAGAAATTATATTGCAAATCGCTTGAGCCGAACATATTACAAAAATTATTCTCCATAAATTACGATAACACTTTGGCTTTCAAAAATTCCGAAAAAATAGATATAAACCATCTTGTTCCAAAAGAAGAATAACTAACATTTTTCTAAGACCGGATCCATATCCACTTGTAATACAACCTACTACCTTATTTTCGTGTATCCATAACACTTAGGTGCGAACAAAGATTGTACTTTGGTAATAAGCTACCTAAAGGAAAATTATGGAAAATGCTTTTTCTACTTTCTTTTAAAGTAATTTGTGATTTTTAGTTTCTCTGTTTTAAATGTTTATAATAATACATGTATGGATGTGTATTGATATGCAAAAAAAGGAATCCTAAAATTTATGAAAGTACATTTTTCCTTTTCAGGGTTGCGTTGATAAACTAATTGAACTCATTTACGAGAATTGGGTACTGATCTTCGGCATCTCAGCGGGTGTGATTCTATTGGAATTGTTGGCGTTGACCTTCTCATTGAGCCTTTGCTGTGCGGTGCGCAATCAACACTACAAAGCCTGAGAATTACTGAATTCCCAGCGGGAAATAAATGACGACGAAAAATATTAACAAACCAAACCGAAAAGGAGGAGGACAAAGGCGTTCTAATAATATCTAACAAAAGAAAGATAACAAATATAATCATTATCAAATCAACACATGCGAAAACTTGAGCGAGGCAAGCGGATTATATCTCCGCGAGGTAGAAGAAGTTGGAGTAAACGCGGAATTAAAAAAATATATAAAACAATTGATATACGAGTTGGCATGTGTAAGGCAAGAAGCTTGCTGAGAGCGGAGGTTTATGTTTCATAAATACACAAATGTGTGTAAGCTTGCAATACAGTGCAAAAGGATGAGAATTAGCAAAAACACATAAATAATTCAAGCATTAAAAGCAAACATTGATGTATGTACAATTGCTTGCAGTGAATCTCTGGCAAATAGAATTTACTAAAAAAATATGCTGGTAAATTATATCTAAGGAAAAAAAAGGAATTTTCATTTGTATTCTCCAAACTTTTGTAAAACACAACAAATTTGTAAGCAAAACTTTGTAGAAAAATGGAAAATCTTCATCTTCATAAAACAATAATCAAAATGCATATGCCACTCACAAACGAAAATAAGCAAAACTAGTTAGTTATAATGGAATGTTACAAAGAAAAAGAGAAAAATGTAAATGCAAAATGCTCAACACACCATTTGCACTACTTTATATAATTTATAGATCATTTCTTAAACGATGAGAATTTACAGCTATTGACTACACTATGATGCCAAATTTACGTTGTTGCAAGTACTATATCTATCGTAATTAATCAATATGTTAGTGCACAAATGATTAACACCAATTGCACGAAATCTACCAAGTTCGAGGTCTTCCGCTATACAAAATATGTATTTATATTTAAGTTTTTTTGCCAAATGCCAAATGTAAACCACTTATTATTTATTTAACATTAAATTAAAATGTGTTGAGAAACGCTGATTAAGACGCTTAGGTCGTTGAAACAGTAATTTTTTCCGTTAGAAAAAAAAACTTAAAAATATATTTTTCGTAATTTCAACCGCATATGTGGGTTTCTCAAAAATAGTTTGTCGCGCGATTTGATTTTCATTAAATTATTAAAAAAAAATCCATGGAATAATATTTAAGATAAAAATCAAAATTACACATTAAATTCAAGTAATGCTACAATGCAGAACAATAAAACCCTCAGTCTTAGTCGAAACAAAATATACAAGAAATATTGCAAAATTTGTTTACAGTTAAGTATAAAATTATGACATGTTAATAATTTTAAGGAACAAAAATTTTTACACTACAATGTTGTATTTTCAGTTGTGGATCAGATCAATTTTTTTAGCACTAAAAAAACAATATTTTTTTATTTGAAAACAAAATTAAAATTTAGAAGCTAAATATTGTGCCATTGAAATTATTTATGAAAAATAATTGTACTTTTAAATAACAGTTAAATTAGCTTTGATTGTATTCGAAATATTTTAGGTAGTTTTAATAATTTTTATTTAATATACATACATACACTTGTTTTTATTTTAATTATTTTTTTAATTTCTATTTCTTTTTATTGCTCATACTACACATTATAATATGTCGTAAGTTTACATAATTTTTATATAGCTCATTTATACTTTGAGTCAGTTCAATGTTTTGCGGTATTGACATTCCATAAACGAAAGCAGTTAGAGATGGGTTGAGAAATCTATGAAAAGAATATTGAAGCAATTTGTATAACTGTAAGAGAGTGACGTTTCTAATCGCATGTCAAACAGTGCAACAGTGCAGGAAGAGCGTCAGAAATATGCAAAAAATCATATGTTTGAAACTAAAGTCGTCGATCGCTTTATTGATAACCTCAAACTGTTTAAGATAACGGACTGCCGTTAACTAGAATATCGAAAATTTTGCAAACTTTATAATCCCATTTTTTTAAAAAATTGTTTTAAACATGTCGTTTGCTTTTGAAACTGGAAGTTGAAAAAATCATCATATTAGCCAACTCAAAATTGTGTAAATATATATTTTTTGAATATGTTTGTCGTTAATCTGTAAACATGGTGCTCATACTTGTAAGACAATCTAAACATTACAAAAATATCAGTTTTTTATGTAAAAAAGCGGCTTTCAAATATTTCTTTTAATAAATGCTATTTTAAATATTAGAAACTTGATTATGACATTAAAATGTCAAGTTTTATTAGATAAAAATTAAATTCAAATTTATGTAACGTTGAAGCAAAGGGACCCATCTTTATTGCCTGAAAGTTAAACACCGGTGATGTAGTTGAGTATTTAAATCTTTGTCAAACAATGTATGATTGCTATTGTACATACATACATAGTATGTATTACATACCTACATATGAATGTGTAAATTAATGTTCTGAGCAATGCAGTAGATCAACATTTTACAAAATCATGTCACAACCCTGAAGAGAATGTCAAAAACTCACAATTTTATATTTCTATACTTTTATTTCATACAACTTAAGTTTACTATTAAAATTTTATAATTCTTTTGTAAAGAAATTTTTAAAATACAAAAAAAATATTGAACTTAAAATGCTTACTTAATTTAATTACACATAATTTTATGCGCATTTTTACAACAAAAAACATTACTAACCTTACTTAATCGCCTGAGCCAACGTAGTCCAAAAGCAACACGAATTTAGGTACCTAACGCACATGACATAAACGAACAAGTTTATTTTATAAAATTTTAAATTTAATTTGATTATGCCTAATTGTGGCAATGAACATTCATATGCGTTCGAAATAAATTTGAAAATTTTTTTAACCATTTTCTAGCAAACGCCCACAGAAACGAACGAGCATTCAGGCACAAACATTCGTACAAATGTACGCACATATTAACTGTTATAGTATATGTAAAAGGCATAAATATTATATGTATACATACATATATGCATTTTTAAATTAGTTTATATTTAAAAATAAACTTTTTTTATTAGTATTGTAACTAAATAAAATTTAAATAAAAAGAAATTGTAGTTGAACATGTCCCAAAACACACACACAAAACGTAATAATTTAAATAAAATGACGGAAAATGTTTGTTGTTATTATTAATTAAAATTAAAATTAAATGTAGTATTTTAATAGAAACTATTACTTATCACTGTATATTCATATGTAGCCACCCACTAGATACTTAATTTGTTTGTTAAAAATGTATGACTTTTAAATGAAATATACAACAACAACTTAACAAATGGTAAGGTGTTCAGAATCGATAGCGAAATTTTTAACAGAAAGTTAAGGAGCCGAATATAATATTATATATAAATATTGATTAGTATATACAAACCTATGTACTATATATATGTACATGTGAATGATGCACTCGTTTAGAATGCCCCAAGAATCCGATATGAAGGTGATTCGCAATAAAAAAATAAAATAAAATAAAGCGAAACTGATGAACACTTAAATATAAAGGAAAATGTGTCTAGCTATATTTAATTATAGGAAAATTGTTAGAAAAAATTTTGAGAAACGCTTTGCGGAAAATACCTACAAAAAACCGATTGTGCATAAGGCCACATAAACGATATATTTAAAGGTATTTAATGCGGAAAATAAGTGGTTACTTAATGAAATGCAATATTTACAGTGGGGGCGAAAATTTAAGACCCTTTCTTTTTGCCAGCACATGTATAATCATACATACAGACGTTTATATATTAACATATGGAAGGCCCAAAAATGTGCAGGTTGGCACAAAATCATAAAAAATAGAAAAACGTGAAAAAAGTGCGCAATGGCGCTTAAGAAAAGCACGCCAATTAGTTGTAATTATTTTTTTATTTTATATTATTATTATTATTTTTGAAGTGCATAAAAGAACAACTGCACGCCACCCTAAGTACTGTTGTAAAAACATTTTCAGCTCGTTAACTAATGCAATTATTTTTTAATATTTCTGTCAGTCAGAGTGTTTTTCAAAAAATCCCCAAAATAATTGCTTCCCAATATTGCCATATTTTTATAAAATTTTTCTTTTAATATGATGAACTATGTATCTAAGTGCATTAACAAAACTCGATTTTCCCGTCCAGACTTAAAGCTTTTCTTGCCTTACAATTTACATAGTTCTTAAGCTGTAAATCAATTCCAGGCTTTTAGGCAATTTGGCATTCAGCCTTTTATTCAGCTAACATTCTTTGCAGCTGAATAAGTGTTGTAAGCCAAAAGGACTGAAAATTATTCCACGAACTTTAAGCTTTGATAAAATCAATTTTGAAAAAACAAGCAGTTCGGAAATCACCAAAATTTTAAGCAGCTGCGATCAATGTTAATTTTAAAGCGAAAACGAAAAGTAAATTTGCTTAGTTTTTGAAAATTGCCTAGTTTCTGGGGTTAAAAGGTGTATTTTAGGGTAAAAAAAATGTGGGAAACGTCTTATATATCTCTTATTTTGGTATCATTCATAATTACTTTTGAGCGAGCCACTTTTTATATGAATAAAGGAAAACACTTTTGGGGCCTTTTTAAGTATGTAAGTAAATTTTAGGTATATTAGTTTTTAATTATCATAGATTAAACTTAAGTTTGCAGTTAAAAATCAATTAATCCACATTATTTTCACTTTTTTTTCAATTATAACGAAAAATATGTATTAGATAATCCGAGTAGTTTTATAGACGGAAAGGATATCCTTGAAACCTGGAATTTTGGAATTTTTGAAATTTTTTAAACTTCTGTAATTTAGCTGTAAAGGTCTTTTTAAACTTTCTACGGAATTTCACCAAGAGAAATCAATATCATTATTTATTTTAGCATTTAAATACTAATAAAGATGCAAAAAAATTGCAATATATAATTTTTGTCCGAAAAAAACAAAAACGAAGCATAAAACAGTCACTTTTTGCAAGCAGTGTTTTGAAAAGTAGATTTATAGGTCCTCATATGAAAAATGCAATAAATGTCATCTTGAAAGTATGCTCAACTTTGAAGTAGTAACAGAATAAAAATAAAAGATTAAAAAAAAAAAAATGAAGCAAATTTGCTTGAGAGCGAATATATAGAAAATTACAATAAAAAAACTTGATGAAAGATTAAAAAAAAACTCTTGCGAAAAAAACCATAAAAACAGTCAATATTAATAGAAAAACTCCAACTTTACAACACAAGCATTTACAATAATAAAATATTAAAGTAAAAGCATATTGAGAGAAAAACACTTGGAAACTTTATTAATGGAAAAATTGGCTGCCACAATTATACAAATTTATTAAACACAAAAATACACTAAAAACATAATTTTTACTTAAGCGTGTTATCGCACAAAAATCGTTCGAAATTCGTAGTCAGTGTAGTTTTCATTAAAAGTGTATCCAATTGGCAACAGCCGGAAATAAAGATTAAAATGAAATAAATTGGGAGTCTCAAAAATAATAAATAATGTACACAAATTGTCTTTGATTAATGGAGAAACATGAGGAAAATCGATTACTTTATACAAAAGCAAATATGTGAATAAATAAAATACACTTCGATATTTTGACACTTTTTTACCAGCTACGTAAATAAAAAAAACCATTAAAATATACTTCATTAAAACTAATATCAAAGAGAATCTAATAAGAAATTCTCAGAACCAACATTGAAACAATTGTGCTAAGAAATTGAGTTATTTGATTTATTAAAAAAAAATGTGGAAGAAGTAAAATAAATGTTAGGAAAAATACAGGATGCTAGGACTTTATAATCCTAATAATAATTTCAGATTTAAAAGCAAGTAAAACATTTCAATTTTCTATGTAGAATATATATTCTGCTTCAATCTCTGCATAGAGTAGCATAGTAAGGATCCCTGGTTTCATCTCCAGAAACAATAAGATCGCTATAATTTATTAACAATTACAATTCTTTTTAGTTGCTGAGTTCGGTTAGTTTTGAAAGGTTGGATCGCTCGTTCTTGTTTAATTGCTGAGGTTGCTTAGTTTTGAAAGTTTTGGGTTGTTGGTCCCAAGTAAACGTATGACAGCAATGTACAGTATAATCATCTCTGTAAACACTTTCGCGTATATATATATACCATATAAACGAAAATTCGTCGGTTTGCTTATAAGAGTAGGAATTAAAATCATTTTTCCAAAACTGGCTGGTCGATTTTTTAACAATGTCAACAGTTTAACTGATAACATATGTATGTGTTGAGCTTCGCTTTAGGCTCGAGTTAATGCTGGATTAGAATATCACAACACTTCACTTACATTGTATAATAGCTTTGACGTCAATGTGGCGAAATTTCTATTTGTCAAATGCAATAAATAAATCTGTGCGGAATAAACAGTGTCATTTTTAAGGGCGTAGCTTTCAAAATTCGTCTCAGAACTTTACATTTGAAATAGTATGTTGTAAAGTAGAGTTTTCTTTCACAAATTGCAGTTTCACAAAAAGATTTAAATTGGAGTAATTAAATCTTTAATACCTGCTGATATATTCGGTGGAAAGTGGTAATGTCGCTGAGTAATGTAGCTTATTCACGTCATCACGGAAAGCATTGCCATAAAGGGAACCGAAAATAGTATATTTAAATCTCGCAGATCATGACTACCATTAAGACAGACCCATTACTATTTTCCTCAAAACTTAGAAACTCTAGATCAGTGTTTGTTATGCTTGCTGTAAACCCATTTGCATTTCTAATGATTTACAGGGAGTGTTTTACTTTCATTTACCAGCATTAAATCGTGGATAATTGTGAAGACTGCAAACATTTAATTAGTATTTGACAATATTTTGATTTTAGCCTCAATAGTTCTAAATTATTATCTATTAATTTATTTTGTAATTACATAAAATCATGCATGATGGTGCAGAATGTACTTTATCCACAGCATTAAATGTAAAATGAAGCAATAAGAATAAATCTATAATAAGTCAAAAAGTGTAGGAAAATAAAATGATTAAAAGAAAAGCTAATAACAAAATTAACTGAACTAGAAAAAATTATTACCTTGAAGATTTGTTATTTTTTGAGAAATTTGGGCAACGTGATAGGCTACTAAGGCTGTCTCTTATACACATCTCAATAAATAATTAAATTTAAAAAAAATAAAGGCGACTTAAAGCATATACTTCTTACTTTAACTACTTTTACAGCAATGTCAGAATAAAAATCCGAAGAAATCGGAAATCAATTTTGAGATGCACATATACAGTATTGTAATCTCCTTTTGTTGAGATATGTATTGTATATCGTATTTCAATGGAACACTTATTTTATTTTACATTTAAACTAGAATCTAAAATAATGAAATATTTACTAGCCATAAGATCTTCGAAATACATACATACATTCAACTTACATACCGATAAATAATATTGAAGAGCGAAAAAAAAATGAAATCATTAAAATTAATAAATAAAATTACAATAGAAAAATTTAAAAACTTTGTGTATCTTTTACTTTCGAAAGTGAGAAAATATCAAATTTTGCTTCAAATGAAGAGAACAAAAAGATATCTGAATTTTGGAGCCTGAGCGGCACGTTTTAAACGTTTCAAATCGATAACGCTGGTACTACAGGTTAAAAAAGATAGTTTCTTGTGAACTCATGCAACTTAAGACATACCACCATAGTTATTCTAAACATTATGTCTTCCCTGCTTTTGTTCATGACATCATGAATTAATGTCTTTGCTGTCAAACGCAGGCCAAAACAAGAAAAAATGTTAACTTCAGTTGCACCGAAGCTAAATACCCATCACAGTTGTATTTCTGTTGGTAATTATGTGTTCAGTGTGTAAGGAAGCTATATGCTATAGTAATCCGATCTGAAATTTTTTTTCGGAGATTATATTATTACCTTAAGTAGTAATCAATGTCAAACGTCGTGAAGATACCACGTCAAATGTGAAAGTTTTCCATACATGAACTTTATTCCGATTGTTCAGTTTGCATGGCAGCTATATGCTATAGTAATACGATTTGAACAATTTCTTCGGAGATTACATTGTTGGTTCAGGAAATTATCTATACCAAATTTCGTGAAGATACCACTCCAAATGTGAAAGTTTTCCATACATGAACTTTATTCCGATTGTTCAGTTTGTATGGCAGCTATATGCTATAGTAATCCGATTTGAACAATTTCTTCGGAGATTATATTTTTGCTTTAGAAAATAACCTGTGCCAACTTTTATGGAAATACATTGTGAAATGTGCAAATTTTCCATATAAGAACTTGATTCCGATCGTTCAGTTTGTATGGCAGCTATATGTTATAGTGGTCCGATATCGGCACTTGAAGAGAAAATGACGTTTACAAAATTTCAAAACGATATCTTAAAAACTGAGGGACTAGTTCGTATATATACAGACGGACAGACAGACGGACATGGCTAAATCGACAGCTCCGACCCTTCCTTCTGGGTGTTACAAACTTCGTGACAAACTTAATATACCCTGTGGAGGGTATAAAAATGGTTAAACAAAACTGTCACAATCTCTTATCTCTACAAATTTTGATATGTACAACACTATAAAATTAATTTCTTAGCATCCATATCTCTTTCTATTGTATATTAATCACAAGTGAGATATTTCTGAAGAGATACTCGCTCCCGATTGTTTACTTGTGACAAAGAATCATATTTTAGATTAGAAAATTACATTTGTTTGAACTTTTAATTTGACTTCGTTTACTCATTTTATAAAGGGAACACTTTAATTTCATCAAGAGAAAATTGTACGCTCTCTTTATTTGCATTTATGGTATACTATATATTCTCAAGTTTGTGAGGGAATAAGCTGCACTATCACTTTCGCATGCTGGTCAACTTGTTTTCGTATTCTTGCTTAATCATTGCCTTATTTGCGCTAGTCGCTCAGTAGCTTTGATCAGGTGTGGATCGTTTTGTGTGCGATAAGAAATTGTTATCAACCGAAAAACCTCGAAAATGTCTAGCAAAGGTAAGGTCTTAATATTATTTATTACTTTAAAAGTCTTTCACACTTAGAAAATTAAATAATAAAATATTTATAAGGTAATATTTGGTTGACTTCATAGAAAACAGTGTGATCCCCGTTGAGTTTGATCAACAAAATCAGTGATATTTATAATATGTATGTATATATGGTCATGTACATAACCAAAAATAGGTATATTGTTAGTGAGTCTTAACTTCGAGTGATAAACAAAGCTTTTACAGAAACGACTTGCAATTGCTTCAATTGTCTGTGCCGAAATAGCGCTAGAGTAGACGCAAAAATAGGAGAAATACGAGAAGCTTAAAAGTGATTAGTACTTTAATGATAACAGCGTTACTATATATACATACATACATACATATGTAGTTATATGCATGAGCACTTATCTACTGCATAAGTGTGCAGAGTTTCATTTCTTGCTTTTTTTTTGTTTTTGTATTTCCAGCTTGTTGCCATGGTCCCGGCTATAAGAGCCCACTTGACGCCATGAAAAATGGACCTCGCGAAAAGTTGCTCTACACAGTTACTGTGCAGCCTAATCTAGACGAGCCCCACGGTGATTACTTATCAACTGTCGATGTGGATCCCGAAAGTCCGACTTACTGTCAGGTTTGTTATTAAATTATTGCTATCTAGTTAGCAATACATATTTGTATATATGTTTTTGCATTATGCGAATTGCATTCCATTAAATTTTAATTAGAATTCAGTAATTACCTACATAGCAGGTATATATAGTATATTATATATAACATAGTAATATAATAGAAAATTAATTTCCAAACCACGTACAAAGTTGGCTTGCTCTGGATGGATTTTATATTTTTGCTTATTTTTCAAACTTTGCATATCGTTTAGAAAAAATTCATACAATAAATATACTATTATACGTATTAATTTATGGTGGTATTGCCAGATTAAAGATTAACTAATATAATAGATGGACAATTTAATACAAATTTGAAAAATATTGGAAATATTTTATTACAAGATAATAACACTTAAACAAAATTTATTTAACGAAAAAATATATTTTTTCGACTTCGATTTGGATTCAAATTGATTGATTTGATTGATTGATTTTTCTTTGAATTTTCTTCGTCAACTTAATTTATTTCTTTAAAATTCGTACGCGTGCAGCAAGCCAAATAAATTTAAATAATTGCATATATGTATATTGATTCATACTATGTTTATATTAAACATATTTACATAAATCGGTAACAGTCAAAAGGCGGTACGCATTTTATTGCGGATTGGAACATGCATACGAAATGAGTAAATCTTTGCTTGTTTTTTAAACTTCAGCTATTAACACCGCTTGCAAGTTTTTGAGCCCATTTCATCCGAGTTAGGCAAATTAAGGGAGACGTCACTCAATGGTAACACACGTTTTTTCAACTTTTTTTTCCATAAAAATCGTTGACAGCTTTGAGAAAAAAAAATTGCACACATGAATGCAGATATATAATTTTTATTATCTTGATGAGTGATTAACCTTTTTGTCTAGTCACTGACAGATGTACATAGATTCGGATATGCTTATATACATCAAAGTGCAGGAGTCCTTAATTTCACTTGCTTTGATATTTTAAAATGAAAAGTAAGAAAAGGCTAAGACTTTTTTACTCTTGCAATTTACAGGAATCCATGCCAGAGAAATACTTTAAGGTGTAAAACGTCAATCACCAACCCTATGGTGTAAAGTCAGCCGATTCCTCGAAAATCTTGATATTAGTTGCATGGTGGGTAGGTCAAGTTTTCGCTCGATTTTATGAGTAAAACACTCTCTCTCATTTTCATTGAGATTACTGACATGTTGGCCAATAAATGCGGTATATGTAGATTCACCCAGAAGGTCGCAAATCTTTATATTAGGTACATTGAGCTTCAGGGAAGTGTTGACTTGATTCAGCCCATTTTGGATACACAAAGATACTATTGCCAGAAAAGAGTTCTCTCTGAATTTCAATTGAATAGATATTGGATTCCACATTTACAGTATTTGGGTGTTTGAACAGTTTTGGAACTGTTTGGTTATAAGGTGGTACTATCCCGTTATACTAATTAATTCTTTATTTGAACATTGGGGTACCGTGTTGTAATTTCACCAAAAAGTGTTTCCGATTAATGGCGTTTTGTTGGCGGGGCAGTGGTCCAATTACTCTCATCTACGAACTAAGAAACCCACATACCAAGCTTCATCAAAATATCTCAACTTTTACTCAAGTTACAACTTGCACGGTCAACGAACGGACAGACAGTATAGGGTCCTATATTTATCTCGCTTAGTTTTAGGTGATACGTACAACTATTAGGTGAACAAAACAATAACTCTCTGTAGCAACATGTTGCAAGAGTTAGCACGACCCGTCGAAGAAAAGTGTGAACATTAGGTGACGCAATCAGTTTTTGGCGGTTCTTTAACGCCGAAATCTATTTTTTTTGGTTTCTTGGTGATTGGATCACTGGAAGAATCATTTTCTCAGAATTTTCTAAATGTTTTTAACTTGTTGACCTGACCCTACTGAGAATTTTTGTAGCTGGTAAACTCTGGTAAATACCCAAAATGGTAAAGTATGTTATTTAGCAAAGAGGTTTAAAAATAACCGATGCAAGGTTCGAAGAACTCATTATGAACACATGAATATCAACATGTTAAGAATTGTAAACCATATTTTTCCTTTTGCCACAAATTTAAGTACTTGACGGATATCAAGATATTAATGATTTGCCTATCCGGTTTTAAACAGGTAATTCATAGAACCTTTACCAATCGCAAGGGCAATGAGCTTCATCACTCGGGCTGGAATGCTTGCTCCAGCTGCTACTATGTGGATGAGAATTCTAAGCAGATACCGAAGCGTGACAAACTTATACTGCCCTCGCTTATGTCCGATTTCATTTACGTAGTGGATGTGGCGACTGATCCACGCAAACCTTCTTTATACAAGACCATAGATGGAGATGTGTTCAAGCAACATAACGTAACTGCGCCGCATACAACGCATTGTCTGGCTGATGGCAATGTAATGATTTCAACACTGGGCGATGCTGAGGGTTATGCCAAGGGCGATTTTATTCTCTTCGAGACGAATAATTTCAATTGTGTCGGCACGTGGACCAAGGGCAACCAAGTGGCATTATGCGGATATGACTTTTGGTATCAACCATATTTTGATGTAATGGTATCAACGGAATGGGGAGCACCCAATAAGTTTAGACGGTAAGTTATGTCCGAACAATGTTATTCAAAATCGATATGATGTTTTTGACTAAGAATGTTCCGATTGACATCTTCCTTCACTGCTTCTTCCTTTTTATAAAATATATTAATAGCGGTTGGCGTACCGAAGATCTCGACGATATGACACAATATGGTTGTCGATTGAATTTTTACAAATGGTCAACGCATACGCTATACCAAACCATTGATTTGGGTGAGGACGGTACAACACCATTAGAAGTTCGTTTTATGCACAATCCCAAACGTCCGGATGGATTTGTTGGCTGCTGCTTGAATGCAAATATATACTATTTCAAAAAGAAACCCGATTCCGATGAATTTATAGCAAAAAAAGTTATTGACATACCTGGAAAGTTGATTTCAATTGATGGTGGCAAGCCTGAAACTATGAATGGCATGGTTTCCGACATACTGCTCTCTTTGGATGACAAATATCTCTATGTAAATTGTTGGCTGCCCGGTGATCTGCGTCAATATGATGTTACTGATCCAGAAAATCCACGCCTAACCGGTCAATTGTTTTTGGGAGGTTTTGTTTGTGACGACTGGAAGAATGTGGAAGTGCTTGAAGATAAAGAACTCACCGTTAGTCTTTTAGAACTGTTAAAAGAATTAAATATGTATTTAATTTCCAATCATCTATTAATAATTGTTAGAAGCGTCCCGAACCACGCATTGTTAAAGGCCGCAGACTCGAGGGAGGACCGCAAATGCTGCAACTTTCTTTGGACGGCAAACGTTTGTACGTTTCATCTTCACTTTTCTCACCATGGGATAAGCAGGTATGAGTTTAAAACATCGCATAATGAATTTTTAAGAACTAGATTATTCACATCGCTTTTTTCAATATTTTTTCAAACAGTTCTATCCGAAGATGGTTGAGAAAGGCGGAACCATAATTCAAATTGACATTGATGTCGTTAATGGTGGCTTAAAGTTGAATGAGGATTTCCTAGTTGACTTCGGTAATGAACCATATGGACCGGCATTACCCCATGAAATGCGTTATCCAGGGGGTGACTGCACCTCCGACATTTGGTTGGCTAACGATGAAAAATGAGTTTTGTAAAATATAGGAGTCAATCCTATCGTCAATTCGCTGTAAATTTCAGTAAAAAATTACGGAAATCAACGCATTGCAAACAATTACATATACATATATCTCATTCATAGCATGAAAGATGGCTCTATGTGTCAAGAATGGCTTTCTAAATGTGCAATTTTCGTTTTTGCAAACTTCATTCGAAATGAATTGTCAATTATGTAATGCGAAATTTTAATGAATACATTTTAAAATGAATTTCTTTGTGTCGTTTATTATGTTTATGCAATATTTTTATTAATAGGCGATTATTTGAGTGACCATATATGCATATAGTGTGGTAAACAACTAAAGATGCAGGAGCGATTTCAAACTCTGTTGATAAAGTTCTTCGTAAGTTACGTGAACTATTGACCTGAAATGACCGAAACTAAATCGACACTAAATTTAAGTCAAATGTACTATGATTTCACAGTGCCTCACACTGGTATAACCATGGTGATGCAGATTCGAGCATGAATAGATGAAAAATTAGGCGATTTTCGTGAATTTTTTTTAAGTGAAAGTACGACATTGAAAATTTCAAACTTCTTTGAACGTAATAAGGTATTTTTTCAGTTATTTTATAAATTTTATTTTTACAAAAATCTTGAAAATTAGCGGAGTTATGGACTGTTTTCGGAGGTGACAAAAAAGAGTGCCTCAACTGCTGGCATGATTCCAGCCGAATGAGTAGCTGAAACAAAAAAATTTGAAAAGTTTATTAAACTTAAAGATATTTCCTATATAATGACCAACGACCTTTGAAAAATATCAAAAATTAATAAAACGGCGTAATTTTGAAAAAAAAATATTTTTTTTTATATTTTTTTAATGTCAAATTGGCAATTTTCAACCAATCGAAAAGATATAGTAAATGTATTCAAAAATACTCAGTTTTAATTTGAAATCGATCGGTCAGTTTGTCGTTGAGTTATGACGCCAGCTATTTTGAAAAAGGTCGTTTCGAGAAAAACGCGTTTAAAATGTCACTTATATACATATGTTTACACCTCCGAGCGGTCGCTCTTTAGAACGCTGCCATCCAAAAACTATTCAAGATACGACCTTCCCGATTTCACAGGATATTTATGGAAATATAAGCTATCGAAAAATCAAATAAAAAATTTTTTTAAAGTGGTTTTCAAAATATTTTATTTTAATTTCAATTATGAAAGTGTCCCATTGGTATATCCTCTTAGTGTGACATTCTAAAAAACAACGATTTTTAGAAATTTAAAAAAAGCTTCGATATCGATTGTTTTCATATTTACAGGAGGGCGTTATTAAATTCTAAAACACCTTTAGAATATTGTCATAAATTTTCAAATTGACCCTAGTAAAAAGTACGCCGTCTTTAAACGCGGTTTTTCTCAAAATAGCTCTGAAGAAAACCCATTTGAAAAAAAAAATTTCACGAAATTTTCACTGAAAATTTCATTTTTTTCAGTTTTGAGTTTTTTTTTTCTTCCAAGCTCTAAGTTAAGTTAAAAAGCGTATTTTTTCGAGGGGTCACCGGAAATGGCGTCGCAATGGCCGATTTTAAAATATTTTTTTCAAAAAATTTCAGAATTTCTTTGCTAATAATGTTTTTTTGTGAAAAATTAATGAAAAGAAATTTTTTACCAAAAAGTTTTTTATCAAAATTTTTTTTTATCAAAAAATTATTTTTTTTATCAAAAATTTATCAAATTTTATCAAAAAAAATTTTTTTTGTGAAAAATTAATGAAAAGAAATTTTTTACCAAAAAGTTTTTTATCAAAATTTTTTTTTATCAAAAAATTATTTTTTTTATCAAAAATTTATCAAATTTTATCAAAAAAAATTTTTTTTGTGAAAAATTAATGAAATAAAATATTTCAAAAAAAAGCTGTTTTTCCCGAGAAACAAAATAAACTATTTTTATGGCAGAATATTAAAGGCATGGACGATCTTTGTTGGTTTCAATAATGGACACTCTCAATTTTGAAACGCCTATGGATTGCATCTAATTAAACATGTCACATATTTTTTTTTGTAATAAAAATGTCACTAGTTTATTTAATTCTTATTTTTTATTTATTCAATTCTCTTTTTTCATTTTATTTACCAATTCTATTGCATAGGTGTTATTTGAAATTAATTTTTATTCTTACATTTTATTAATTATTACTAACAATAAATATACGTTGCATAAGAAAAAGTTTAATAACAAATTTAGTCATAAAATACATTTCATGAAATAAATAGTTTGGAAAGTATTTAATTTACAACAGAAATTAAATATATTAGAAATATGTTTTGTTGTTGTTTTCTTTTTGTCGTTTGACAACACTTCCTATTAGTGTACGTGAACATTTGTTTATACTATATTAAAGTAGCCTAAGTCAACTTTGGTTAATGTCAGCAATTGTAGGTTGTTCATAACAATTAATATGAGTTCTGATTATATATATTTAAGGTAAAACTGAGTATCGAGGCGCCAAATTAGGCTCAAATGGAGCAAAATATTTACACACAATTTTTGTGGAAATTAAACTGACCACATTGACTTAACTTGACTTAAGCTCCTTCAACTAGAACGGCAAGTATACATATCTATATACTTATGTACAATGTATGTGTTTCCATTAGACTTTTTGGTATTTATTTATTTTATACAATAATTAATTTTTAATTTTTAATTTTTGCTTTTCAGCTAAATTTTTTATGCTACTAAAAATTATTGAGTACACATAATTACTTACTAAATATCTTTTTCTAAAGAAAAACCTTCGCCGTAAATTATATTTTAATTTTTCTCATTTTATTTACTTGTTTGTGTGCTTAAACATTCCAATCACTAACCACAATTTGTTGTTGTTAAGTTCATTATTACTACATATTACCATTGTTGTGTGTTGTTGCCACTTCGTTTAAGATTTTCTCTTTTATATAAATCAGTTATGTTATTAAATATTACTGCGTTGAGTTCTTTGCGAATTAACAACTCAACAACCCCCACTAAATAATAAGTAAATAAATATTATTAAGAATTATTCATATGCTTATAAAATATTATTATTTAATTACCAATTTCTTAAACTGATTTTTCGCATTCGCAAAATAATTATTGATTTAAGTTTAAATGTTTTTATTTATGCCTTATTTTTATCCGGTCTCGTTGGTATTTTTTATATCATTATGCATTTAATATATTATACAAATATATCATTTTCAAAAAATGTTTTAAACTAATTACTTATACTGAGTATGTTTGTATGTGTGGACTTTAATTCATTTAAATTTGATTTAATTAATTTTATTATTAACTTATTCTTACTTGGTCTAAGGTACATTTTGATTTGCAAATTTTATTAGAAGTTATTTTTTTAAGTAATTTGAAGTAAAAACGCAAAAAGCATATGAAGATCACAGTAATCGAACTTAAAACTCAGCAATTTTATATTAGAAATTAATTTTACGTAACTATAAAATACACATTTACAAAAT